AAAACAATTAACACCACATAGTAATGATCTAAAAGGCTCACCTTACACTTCTGTCTCAGAGAATCTCTGCAGCACTGTTGTCATCGGACGAACTCAAAATATCAGGAATAACATCACCAGAAATTTTTCATATCTAGTTATGGAATTTCAATGACTTAGTGTCAAAGGAGTCGGCTTTCTTGGTCTTTGAGTCAGCAGAACTAAACTAATAAGAAATAAGCAAGAGAAAAAACTTAAATGAAATTGATAGAGACAATCAAGAAAGATGAAGTAGAGTAATGAGATAAACAAATAAAAATTCAATGAAATGCAACAATATGTTGTTACCATGTCGACCATGGTAACTACATACTCCCAGAATCCACCCGTGGAAGGTCGAAATACAATGCATTGTTACTTCACCCGGAAATAATCAAAACTTTCGATCCTGAATTAGATCTTTATACCAACGCGTTTAATCCCAATATGACGTTCAATTCTTTGGTCCAACTCTGAGGTAAAACTTTGATGGAATGTTCAAAAGCTTAGGTTCAAACCCTAGGTCAAATTACCAAATTGCTAGGTAATTGAAATTAGTTACAATTAGTGACATGCACGAGCAATTTCTTGCTAGAAATTTCATTTAGAAGAATATAAACTATTATATACCCAACAACCCAAATTACCAACAAAGGAACTGAAACAAAATAATTATTTTTATCAAAACAGAGAGTTCAATCCATATAATAAATAGAACAAAGATAGACAAACATTGAAATAGGGAGACCCATATTCTAATTACTGATAAAAAAGTGCAAGAACCAAAGAAAGATTGCAGAAAACACTCACCAAAGCGAAAACTTCACTGAAAGAGTGAAGAGTAGAAAGAGGAGAGGAAATGTGAAAATGGGAATGGAACGAAAATGAGAGATTTCTATGAAAATTTGCGTAATTATAAACCCTAATTATAAGCATAATTTCAGGTATACCCTTGTTCGTATACCCTTGTTCGTCCCCCCAAGTCCCGTTTCTATATTATAGTAATATGAAATAGGAAGTAAATATGTGCACCTTTTTCCTGAGTACCAATCTTTTGCAATTCTGTTCGAGTAGAACACAAAAAGGATACAAACGATTGGCCTTCTCATAACCAAAACAGATCCAGAAAAAGAGCATTGAGTATCAAAACATAATAAAAGTCGGATCTAAGAAAAGAACCAACTGTAGCACAATTCTAATTAGATTAGATCTAAGAAAAGGTATGAACATATACCAAGCTTTTGCAATTCTGTTCTAGTAGACTTCTTGCTTG